CCACCCCTGCGGGCCGCGGCGAGCGCGTGAGGCGCAGGCCCTCGCTCCAGACTGCAGCGGCCTGTCCCTCCCTGGCCCTGGGGACAGCGGGCCTTCGCGCCCCGCCGGCTTCCTTGGGGGGCCGAGGGCGAGCCGGTCTCGCTAGGCCCCACGAGTTCAGCGAGGGGGGCCACGTGAGCGCGGGAGCTCGCCGCCTCCCCCCGCGGCGCGGGCCGTGCCCCGAGGGTGCTGAAAGGCCTCTGCGCCCCTCTCTGCCCCGTCGTCCGCCCCCCGCCCCCACCCCAGGCACCTCTAGTTTTCTGCCCCGAGGTGAAGGGATGTGGACTTCTCCCCCCCAGGTGCTTGAAAGAAGAGAAGGTTGGAGGAGGAGGAGACTGGGGGGGCTGCTGGTGGTGGTGACAGGGCTGGGAGCGAGAGGCGAGGGACGGGAGGAGGGGGGTGGGGGTGACAGGCAGAGAGGAGCCTGGTCAACAAGCCAGCACCGCTCTGCGAGGAGGCCGAGGCCGGCGCATCCAGGGCGAGGAGACACACATAGCTTGCTTTCTGGGGGACTCTTTGTCAGCCACCAACACAGGGGACACACACTGACACACACGTACACAAAGATCTGAGCCAGGTTGTGGGAGGTAAGTGGGGGAAGGCGAAGGAGGGGGCACCAGTGTCTGCGGTGGGCTTCGGGGTGGAGGGGCGGGGGGATGGGCCCTGAGGGGCTCTGGGCGCGTGTGAGGTGGGCATTGCCAAGACGGGGTGCTCGTGTGTGCTGGGCGGGGGGTCACACGATGACCTTCCCCACCTCAGGAAGACCTGAAAGGGAAACGCAGACCCCCAGTGAGATCCCCTGTGCTGATGGTTTTCAGGGACTTGTTGGCAACTCAGCGAGGGTTGCCATAGCTTTTTTATGTAGGGTGACCAGAACCGGCTGAAACTGGTTTGAGGCAGATCAGCTCCTGAACACAATGCAGTCACTGAGCTTCTACAGTGGGATAGCAGCTTCCTCCCTTCATGGCAGCCAAAAGCAGAGGAGCTTGCAGGAAGGTGCCACCCCAACACAGTATGTGAATGCACACTTAGACACCACACAGCACTGGTACGTGACTAATGGAGTCCTAAAAGATTCTGTGTAGAGAAGATGGGAAAAAAAAAAGGTGCAGGTTTGCAAGGTCTGAGATTACTTGGGCTTTTCCTGCCTTTTTCTTTTGCTTAAGGGATGGACAAGGAGCTGAGATTTATGACCCTTATTAAAGGAGACAAAAAAAAAAAAGTGACTTGCTAGGGTGGGGACACTTGGTTGATGCAGTCTCTCTCTTTCTTTCTCTGTGTTTTTAACAAAACCAAACCAAAATGAACTGATGGATTTGTAATGGTAGTTTGTTTGTTGCTGGAGAATGCTACTTTGCATGCTTTTTTTTTTTTTTTTCTCTTGCAGGCTATGTTCTGTTTTGTGCTTTTCCTTTTAGAAGCTACTAAAGGGTGTTGGGGATACTTCTGACTATTATGAAGGCCAAAAGGTAACAATATTGTTCTAGGAAATGAGCATAAATGCTTTCCAGTGATGCTGTAAGGCATATACATGCTGTCTTTTTTTTCCTTGTAGGCCTGTTGACTGGGGCTGCTTTTAACCCTTTCATGTTTGCAGAGCATGCAACCGTGTGACAGTAACTGAACCATTGGTCCAAAGTCTTTCCCAAAGGTCAAGGTTCACAAGGTGAGATACGATATTTTGAGCATGAATGTTAGTATTTGTTTGAAGATCCATTCAGACACAGACTGACAATGGACTGGTACCCTGGAGATAATACTGGGTTCAGAGGGGAGCAGAAATACTCGTAATGTTATCCAAGTTTAATGGGATTAGAGTGACTGTGTGATGGGATTGCTATCCAGGTGAAATCAGAATGACTTCATTAAATCGCATGTGTCTCGTCATTTGGAAGAGTCAGGCCTGGAGAGACGCAAGTTTAGAGGCTGCTAGGCGTCAGGGCCTGGTGGAGAATGCACTGTTTTGCATAAGACTGAAGCAGTACACATGTAGCGTTTTCCTGACGATTACCAAATAGGAAGGACTTCGCCAAATCGAGGCAGCATCGCCACCTTTTTGGGATTTGGGAAGTCTGAAGGTAGATTTGCCTTTTGTTCACTCATCACCTTTCTTTTACCTTGCTCTCTATGTTAACCTGAAAGGTTTTTCACTCCGAGTCAAGTGGTGGAATGGCTTTTATTGATTTTGGGGCTGTTGACAGTGAGTTTGCCATTGGATTATTTGTGGCATACATTTTAATGTGGCATCTTACTGCAATACTAGGAGGAAAGCGGGTAGTCTGGCTTCCTCTGTGAAAAGATTCTGTTAACTCCAAGCTTTACAGCAGTGGATAGTAGAAAATGTCTCATGCCTTCAGAGATTGCAGTTAGGTTTGAGCTGGCATTTTTATGCAGCCTCCAGAAGCAGGGGTTGTAGAGGAAAGGCGAGAAGAAAGCAGTAATGACTGTAGCCAACTGAAGAACAAAGGCAGTGAGAGCTTACAGGGGAGCACTAAACATTTTGCCTTGGGGTTCCTTGTGAAAAGAACTTCCACTTCCCCAAACAGGAAACCAGCAGACCCAGAATCACATCCAATATGATGTCATCAACAGATAGAACTGGTTCTGTCTTCTGGTTTGGTAAAGAAAAAAAAAAAGTACAGTCAAGAGGAGCCCATAGAAGACATGATTGAAAATAAATTTCTCTCCTGCTTTGAAGAGGGATTTTGTTCCTCTTCGCGGTCAGCAGAACAGAGCCTTTTCAGAAATGCCTTTTCAGAGGATCTTAGAATTGGTTGTGTGCTGGCAGTTGGTGGGCAGAATATCTGCAGTGGAGGGTGTCAAGTATGCAAGGGTTGTGATTGTTCAAAATTGTTACATATGATTGCAGAGCATCCAGTGTGAGAAAACAGGCAAAGGGGAACAGGAGTGCATGGCTAGCTCAGAATACTTTGTGTGTAGCATTTAATAGAGATAAATGTAATCTCAGACTCGTATACCAGTAAATAGCTTACGCGATGGAACAAAATTCTTTACAAATCACTGCTAAAATTGGTTTTCAATTCTGCATCGTTTTGGACTGCCAGAGGTGCTGTGTCTGAGTGTGGGCAGAAATCTGCTTGCAAAGCAGGTCCCAGTCCATGTTGCATGATGTACTGCTCCTGCTTTTTTGGTGCCAACTAAAACTCAGATGGCTAATATGATAAACCTTAATTAGCTTAATACAATAAGCTGTTTTATAATTTAGTCCTTCACTCCTGTCTTTAGAAAGTCAGTGATTTTTATTTAATTTTGACTGCTAACCCCTTGCAAGGACTCTTTTCTGGATTATACGTTTAAAAGCCATTCTTTGTAAGGCATTGCATGTCACAGAATGTTCTGGTTTCCTCTCACTGTGGGTTTTAGCTTTGTTCCTCCCCCTCCCCCCAGAAGGCTCCTGGAAAATAGCATTTGTTTTGCATTTAGGCTGGTCTTTTCCAGCTGCAAATGCAGCAGTGAGGTTGGAGAGCTGGTTCTCCAGGCCAGCAATCAGGGAGCTCATCTTGGATGGAGGTCTGTCTCAGGTGGTGATCTCATGCTGAGGTATAACAATGTGGCAGGCCCAGGTCCCCTGGGAGAGGATCAGAGTTTCTGGGCTTGGGAATGTGAATGCGAGGGTGGAAAACAAGTAACAGCCATTAGCCTTCTTTCCTGGAAGAGCTAGGAGGGAACAGGGGGGCACCGACTTTTGGGGGCTGGGGCCTGTGCGTTGCTGTCACTGTTGCCTTGGCGGGGGGGCAGCCACACCTGGAGCCCGGAGGCCCCCCTCCCCCGCAGCCGGGATTGCCTGCGGCAGTCTCCCAGGCACCAGTCCCCTCTGGGGGAGGAATGTGTGGGTTGGCTGAAGAGAGAGGGTACACTGGAAAGAAAGTGTCACTGGTTGTTGAACCTTCGTGTGTTTTTGTCATTTGCCTACTTAGAATCATTTTTTCCATGTCAAAGAACATTGGATCTGGGACTTTTAGAACTCTTGGCCTCCTGGTTCGGGAGGACTCTTCTCATCCCTTTTTTCACAAAGGGACCCGCCCCCCACCTCGACTCCTTTCTAAAGGAGGGCCTAGGAAGGAGGCATCCAACGCGGAAATGCAATCTTCCGCTTACACCTTTCCTTGCCTAGGCTGGGTTAGAATTTTAGGATTTGTAGTCTCCTGCCCCCTTTGTTTCTTCCCTTGAAATGCTTTCTTGGGCATTGCTGTGGGGGTACAGCCTGTCTTCTGCTGATTTTGAATAATCTTCCCCGTATCCTTAGCTGAGCCCCATCTGGCTGTTCACAGATGGCGCAGGCGTTGTCCTGATGTGGAGCCGCAGAAAGGTTACCAGTACAAGGGACACACACCGGAAGTAGCTGGAAAAGATGGGGCCTTGCCCCACTCCGTGTTCCTCTAACATCTCTTCCTAATCAATACAATTCAACAACAACACAACGGCAGCAGCTATGGCAAACATTAAGGAAATCCACACCTTTGTGTTAATTCTGTTGAGGGGGTGATCCTTCACCAAGTGGTAATTACATTAAAAAATGTTAGCTTTTGAATTTACATGCAGTAAAATTCACTCTGTGGCGTACAGTTCTCTGGGTTTCGGCGAGCGGACAGGACTGTGCATCTGCCACCACTGTCCCATCACGAGGAATGGTGCCATCGCCCCCCAAACCTTCCGCTTGCTGCCCCTTTCAGGTCAGACTCATCTCCGTACCCCAACCCCTGGCAGCTGATTTGTTCCATCCCTGTATTTGGCCTTTTCCAGAATGTCATACAAATGGCTTCTTTACCTTAGCGAAGTCTCATGTTTGAGATCCGTCCATATTTTTGTGTGTGTCCATACTTGGTTCTTCTCTATTGCCAAGCTGTATACCACTGTATGGATGTACCACAGGTTGTCACCCATTCGTCAGTTGAAGGACTTGAGGGTTTTTTCTAGTTTTTGGTGATTGTGACTAAAGCTGCGGTAAACATTGGCATGCAGGTTTTTGTCTGAACACATTTTTTTATGTCCCTTTGGCAAATACTTTGGAGCGGGATGGCTAGGTAGTTGGGTAACTACATAAGAATTAGATGTTTGAATAAAAATAAATTCAGCTCATCGTCGCTCACAAAAAAGATCTAGCCTTGTCAGCTGCAGTTCAGACTTCCCGAGTCAGAGATTGTAGTGAACATTATCTGACGACACACAAGAGATGATCGTGATAATAGGCCACTCACTAACAGGATGACATGCTTTATAACCCAGAACTAATCGGAATTAGCTAAAAGTGGAAACCAAAAACGGCAAGTGGTAAACTCTCCTTTATTTCCTACAGCAGTTATTTTTAGCCTCTTCAGAAATATATGTCGGTTTAATTTTTATATTTGTCTTCAGGTTCAAAAAAACACCAAACAGTAATAGAAGCAAAATTTTGGAACGTGATACCAGAGATCTTTGTTGAAATCATAGTTATGTAAGCAACTTCATTATAATTTGTCAGATTTATTGACTGCTGAAATATGGGTGGTGGTGGTTTCTTTTTTCCACTGCTCAGTTTAAAATTTATTGAGTACCTATTAGGAGCCAGGTTATATGCTGAGTGATGGGTATACCAAAAAGGTGTGCAAACTAGAAAATAGCAAGGCAACCAGGATTAGAATCTGACACAAAATGCCATATGCTTTGAATTTTTATCTCCTGTCTTCAGTTATTTTTAAAGCTTAATTTTGTTTTGTTTTTTAATGTTGGTGGTGTTTTAATACTTGAAGTTATTATTCAGCTTTTATCCCTTTTAAGGAAGTGAAAATACAGAAGCAATATCAAGGCGAAGAAGTAGGAAGATTTTGGAAGCAGATTTTTTTTTTTTTTTTTAGAGGATAAAATAGCGTTCAGGATCGGGAAGAGCAGATATTGTAGATCCGAGGTGATGGTGATGGAGGAGGAGAGCCCAAGAAGTGGGGAGTGATGCTAAATTGGGGATTATTTCATCCACTTAACAGATCCTTACTGAGTGTTTACTAAGCACCGGATATTGTGCTAATAAGCACTGGGAGTACCGAAGGAAAAGGAATCCAGAGAAAAATGTGGTGGGGAGTAGCCTGTAGATGCTATGACAGGAATGTGAATGAGCCGTCTAAGCCGAACCGTGAAAAACGAGTAAGACTATGTGAGGCAGGCAAAGCCTTGGGGGGAAGAGCATGCGAGTCCGATGGAGCGGAGTGTGGAAGGGCGCCAGGGGAGCTCGGTGCCCCCAGCAGGGATGGGAGAGGGGGTGTGGGGGAAGAGAGGGAGCTCAGGAGGAAGTCAAGGGCCAGACTCCTGAAGGCCATTCTGTGTAGTCCACTCGAGAGGGGACTTCCTTGCGTAGGCAGTTTAGGCAGACAGACTTACTTCTAAGGACGAAGGTTGTGGGGCAGCACCACGAGGATGGAATGCAGGCTATTCAGGTGGAGGCAGGGAGGTCAAATGATGGGACCACAGCAGCAATCCAGGAGAGAAGAAGAGGGCTGGATCCAAGGTGTTGCAGTGGGGATGGAGTGGGAGGTGGTGATGCTTCAGGTGGCAGGTGTGCATATGGCTGGTACCTGATGAGATATGGGGAATGATGGCGGGGAGGGATAGAGGCTCTGCTACTGCATTTATATCTCCAGTAGCAGATTGAAGATGGGTTGATGGTTGAATTTT